GGTCAACATGGTGAAACCCCGTCTCTACTAAAAATACAAAAAATTAGCTGGGCATGGTGGTGCGTGCCTGTAATCCCAGCTACTTAGGAGGCTGAGGCAGGAGAATTGCCTGAACCCAGGAGGTGGAGGTTGCGGTGAGCCGAGATCGCGCCATTGTACTCCAGCCTGGGTAACGAGCAAAACTCCGTCCCCTCAAAAAAAAAAAAAAAAAATTAAAAGATACATGAAAGGGAGGCAATATTTAATGTCCCTCTGCTTGCCTCTCAACTGACCCTCTCCTAACTATCGCATACCAAGGGAGGAAAACTGCTAACCTAATTGGGTAGAAGGCAGAAGTATGACCACATCATGCTCATCAGTGGGCAGGCGCCACTCATTTAATCAAAGCTGTGCATGCATGCCTCTCAATCTTTTTAACTTTCACCGTGTGGCAAGGTAGGTAAATGGATTTGGGGTCTCTCTGGAGAAGGCTTGGCCACTTCTCCCTATATACAGTCTTGCCAGAGCATCATCTGTAATTATTGTACAGGTTGAGCATCCCTTATTCGACATGGTTGAGACCAGAAATATTTTGGGTTTCAAGTTTTTTTTTTTTTAAATTTTGAAATATTTCTTATTCTGTTATACTTACCAGGTGCGCATCCCTAATCTGAAAATCCAAAATCCAAATGTTCCAATAAGCATTTCCTTTGAGTGTCATATTGGCACTCAAAAAGTTTTGAGATTTTGGAGCATTTCAGATTTCAGATTTTTAGATTAGGGATACTCAAACTGTAGTACATGGCACACCAGTGCCGCTACTATTCCAAGATTCAGGTTTAGATTCAGTTGAAAGCTCCTCTCTGGCTTTATGCCTCAATATCCACTTTCCAGAGAGAGTCCTATACTGGGGCACTGGGCACTGAGCCAGATAATGATAAACTGATGCCTTGATTCTTATTTTCCTATTGTTCCCTGGGTATATCTTACCAAAAACCCTGTGGAGGGTAGAGGCAAGTGGCAGCCATGACTTAGATATGCCTGGGACCCTTTACTTTCATAGAGAAAAAATACCTCCAATTCTAAAGTACAAATAGTCAGGAAAGTGTATTATAAACAGAATATATCATTGACAATGAATATTGAACAACAGAGATACATAGTTATATTACAAACATTTATACAAAATTTAAAGGATCAGAGAAGAATAAATATTAAAGTTTCTGAAATACTGATGCATTACCTGGAAAAAATCTGGGTTGGGTATTAAATGTTTTTCAACTAATATCCTACTTTGTTCTCCCTCACAGAAAATATTGTTCAAGGGAACACTTGACAGGGGTTCTTTCAGGGTAAAGTGGTGATATGTTGACATTGCAGAGAAAGGGTTCTGCCTCCTTTACCAAAAAAAGCCTAAGAATTCAGCAATGAGTGGTGGTATCAGCTAACAATAACCAGTACTTGGAAATTCTTCAGTGTTAGGCTCTGTTCTGGCATTTCTCATTAATATCTCATGCCCTCATTAACTCGCCTAAGGTCTCAGGAGTACCAAAATCGATAGTACCATCCACCAGTAAGCAAGTGATCAACCAGGGCAGGCTTGAGGATCACTGGTTGGGACTGGCTGGGGACTCCAGATTTAAACTGCTTCAGCTCAAGATTACTTTAAGGTATAGTTAATATAAGTAAGAAAGCAAGCAAGAAATAATATTAGTGACTGATTTACTTTTCTAGAGCTACTCTTTCACTTCAACTTCTACTCTCTCTTTTTTTTTTTTTTGAGATGGAGTCTCACTGTCTGTCACCAAGACTAGAGTGCAGTGGCAAGATCTCGGCTCACTGCAGCCTCCACCTTCTGGGTTCAAGTGATTCTCCTGCCTCAGCCTCCTGAGTAGTTGGGACTACAGGTGCCCAACACCATGCCTGGCTAATTATTGTATTTTTAGTAGAGACAGGATTTCCCCATCTTGGCCAGGTGGGTCTCGAACTCCTGACCTCAAGTGATCTGCCCCCCTCGGCCTCTCAAAGTGCTGGGATTACAGGCGTGGGCCACCGCACCTCGCCATCTTTCACTTCAACTGCTAAGGTTTATGTCTCTTGACTACTGTGGTTTCTAACTGGTGGAATCTGGAGGTAAAATATTAGTACTAAACATGAGACTAGAGAGTAGACTGGCTATTTTTATTATTAAGTTTCTACTGGACTTGGCAAAAACATTACAAACTTTTTCAGCTATAGCAAAATTGGTAATCCTTTGAAAATTGGAATGCATTTCAGAATAGAGGGCCCTTCAATGATAAGATGAGCAAGACAGGAAGGCAGTTAAAAGAAAAAGTAATAGAAACATAAAATTTGAAAAAGTAGGTGGCATAATTTCATTTTCAAGTTCAATTACCTGCATCAATATTTGGAAACAGAACTAGGGTCCGCTTGTTAAATGAGATAAGCGCATCCAACGTTAATTCAAACATTTTTATGGAATGCTTAATGTCAGTGGTCACAGGGTGCTGTAGTGCAACAATGTAATCTTTAGATTTTACATCATCACCTGTTTAAAGAAAATCAAACCACATTGCTTCATTAGTTAAGAATCTTAAAAGAGAAAGAAGCAAATTCTGGAAGCAAGACCCTAAGTTTGTACTTTTAAAAATTCTAAGATAGAAACAGTTTGTCAAATTCTGAGCAGGGCATCCAAATTAGAGTCAAACGATAAGAACTTAACAGCAACAAATCCATGGATTTGGCAAACTTAACATTTTACAAAGATATGCTGCCACAAACATAAAATATAGCTTTAAATAGCAGGCAATAGAAATTCACTGTTTTAAAATCCAAACTATTCCAAAGCACTCGAAAAATGTGACTCTTTTTAATTTCTACCTAATGTTTTGAATGAATATTCAGCAATATCTGAATAAATAATATGTTGTAGATCAGGGCATTTTGAGACTGAACAAGCATTAAACGTATTTCCTAGAATGCACAGGAGCTTTCCCGTACCATCACCTACCAAATTGAACAAGTGGCAAATGTTTCTAACGCTGTTAAAGGACTAAAGAGTTTCGCTTATCCCTAACCTGAGATCCCAAGGACAGTTCTTCGGCAAAAATTTAAAATGTAAAAAGTTTAGAGTAACAGTGCTATGCCAAACAACACAAGGTGTTTATCAACAGGGCCTATATTATCCCATAAAAAGTGAGCTCCACTCAGTTTTTTTTGAATAATTAAAATCATTTATTTATTTTTCTATAAGTTATTGGGGTACAGGTGGTATTTGGTTACATGAGTAAGTTCTTTGGTGGTGATTTGTGAGATTTTGGCACACCCATCACCCAAGCGGTATACACTGCAACTTATTTGTAGTCTTCTATCCCTTGCCCCGCTCCCCTCCCTCCCACTCTTCCCCTCAAGTCCCCAAAGTCCATTGCATCATTCTTATGCCTTTGTATCCTCATAGCTTAGCTCTCACCTATCAGTGAGAACAGACAATGTTTGGTTTTCCATTCCTGAGTTACTTCACTTAGAATAATAGTCTCCAATCTCATCCAGGTCACTGAAAATGCTGTTATTTCATTCCTTTTTATGGCTGCATAGCAATCCATCATATATATACCACAGTTTCTTTATCTACTTGTTGACTGATGGGCATTAGGGTTGGTTTCATGACTTTGCAACTGTGAATTGTGCTGCTATACATATGCATATGCAAGTATCTTTTTCAAATAATGACTTATTTTCCTCTGGGTAAATACCCAGTAGTGGATTGCTTGATCAAATGGTAGTTCTACTTTTAGTTCTTTAAGGAGTCTCCACACTGTTTTCCATAGTGACAGTACTAGTTTACACTCCCACAGCAGTGTAAAAGTGTTCCCTGGTCACTGCATCCCCACCAGCATCTACTGGTTTTTGATTTTTTGATTGTGGCCATTCTTGCAGGAGTGAGGTGGTATCACATTATGGTTTTGATTTGCATTTCCCTGATCATTAGTGATGTTGATCATTTTTTCATACGTTTGTTGGCTATTTGTATATCTTCTTTTGGGAATTGTCTATTCATGTCCTTCGCCCACTATTTGATGGGATTTTTTTTTTTTCTTCACAATGTATAGACTGTGAAGATTTTCCCCAACTCTGTGGTTGTCTGTTTACTCTGCTGTTCCTTTTGCTCTGCAAAAGCTCTTTAGTTTAATTAGGTCCCAGCTATTTATCTTTGTTTTCATTGCATTTGCTTTTGGGTTCTTGGTCATGAAATCCTTACCTAAGCCAATGTCTAGAAGGGTTTTTCCAATGTTATCTTCTCTAATTTTTATAGTTTCAGGTCATAGGTTTAAGTCTTTAATCCATCTTGAGTTGATTTTTGTATAAGGTAAGAGATAAGGATTCAGTTTCATTCTCCTACATGTGACTAGCCAGTTATCCCAGCACCATTTGTTGAAAAAGGGTATCCTTTCCCCACTTTATGTTTTTGTTTGCTTTGTTGGCTGTAAGCATTTGGGTTTGTTTCTGGGTTCTCTATTTTGTTCCATTGGTCTGTATGCCTATTTTTGTACCAGTACCATGCTGTTTTGTTGACTATGGCCTTATAGTATAGTTTGAAATCAGGTAGTGTGAGGCCTCCACATTTGTTCTTTGTGCTTAGTCTTGCTTTGGCTATGTAAGCTCTTTTTTGGTTTCATAATAATTTTAGAATTGTTTTTGCTAATTCTGTGAAGAATAATGGTAGTATTTTGATGGAGATTGCATTGAATCTGTAGATTGCTTTTGGCAGTATGGTCATTCTTGCAATATTGATTCTATCCATCCATGAACATGGGATATGTTTCCACTTGTTCATGCTGTCTGTGATTTCTTTATTTTTTCTTTTCTTTTCTTTTTTTTTTTTTTTTTTTGAGATGAAGTCTCACTCTATTGCCCAGGATGGAATGCAATGGCACAATCTTAGCTCACTGCAACCTCTGCCTCCCAGGATCAAGCAATTCTCCTGCCTCAGCCTCCCAAGTAGCTGGGACTACAGGCATGTGCCACCACGCCTAATTTTTGTATTTTTAGTAGAGTCAGGGTTTCACCATGTTGGATAGGCTGGTCTCTAACTCCTGACCTCAAGTGATTTGCCCACCTGGGCCTCCCAAAGTGCTGGGATTACAGGCATGAGCCACCACGCCCAGCAAAAACTGGTGTTTTGTTTTTTTGAGACAGGGTCTTACTCTTGTCACCAAGGCTAGAGTGCAGTGGCACAATCATGGCTCACTGCAGCCTTGACATCCCAGACTCACAAGCAATCCTCCTACCTCAGCCTCTGGAGTAGCTGGGACTACAGGCACACGCCATCACACCCAGTTGTTTGTAGAAACAAAGTTTCTCCACATTGCCCAAACTATTCTCAAACTCCTAGGCTCAAGTGATCTGCCCACTTTGGTCTTCCAAAGTGCTGGGATTACAGGCATGAGCCACCATACCTGGCATATGATTATTTTCTATTCATTACAAGTTTTCCAGAATACATATAGAGCTGACGGTATAATTAGAACAGAATCCAAGAGCATTTCATTGGAAGCATACAAAAAGGAGAGACTGAAGAGACAGAAGATTGTTCCGCCAGCATTATCTAGATGACCCCTTGATGACTACAGATTTGTCCAAAGATAAGAAATATTTAGAATGAGCCAGGTGTGGTGATTCACACCTATAAATCCAGCAGTTTGGGAGGCCGAGGCAGGAGGATTGCTTGAGCCTAGGAATTCATGAACAGCCTGGGAAACATAGTGAGACCCCATCTCTACAAAAAGTTTTAAAAATTAGCTGGGCGTGGTGGCACATGCCTGTAGTCCCAGTTACTCAGGAGGCTGAGGTGGTAGGATCACTTGAGCCCAGGAGGTCAAGACTGTACCACTGCACTCCAGACTGAACAACAGAAATAGGTAGAATGGATTATGTTATATAGTAGGAAAGCCCAATTCCTTTCCTATTGTAATGTAATCTAGATTAAAAATATACAAAATCTCTTTGCTTATTCAATTTTGTTTTTCTGGTTTTTTTTTTTGTTGTTGTTCATTTTTTTGTTTGTTTGTTTGTTTTGTTTTGTTTGAGACAGGGTCTTAATCTGTCACCCAAGCTAGAGTACAGCAGTGTAATCACAGGTAGCCTCAACTTCTCGGGCTCAAGTGATCCTCCCATCTCAGCCTCCCAAGTATCTGGGACTACATGCATGCACCATCACACCAGCTAATTTTTTTATTATTTGTAGAGACAGGGTCTTGCTATACTGCCCAGGCTGGCCTTGAACTCCTGGGCTCAAACAATCCTCCCACCTAAGCCTCCCAAAGTGCTGGGATTACAAGGTGAGCCACCACACCTGGCCCAACCAAATCAATTTTCTATTCATTAATTTTATAATTCAATAAATCTGCCTCTTAGCAATGAAAGGTCCTAAATAGGGAATTAGTCCTGATTTGTCCCCTAGGTATACTCTTACTGTAAATTAACCAACTGACATTCTGTTTGTAAATTTTTTTTTAACCTCTGATTAGCAAAAGATAATTTCTAGGAAGCTAGAGCACTGATCATGGAAAATTTTGAAACTTAAGGCTTATTTACAAAAATAATGCTACAACTATGACTTTTGCATTTTAATAATTATCATCATAATCCCTTATATTAATAAGTACTTATGGCTTACTGTTTCCAACATTCATAATCTGAGTATTCCAACCATTCTATAAGAAAAGCATTAAAAATAAAAATGACCATTTTGCCACGGTAGTAAAAAAGTTTAGAAAATCAGGCCAGGCACAGTGGTTCACGCTTGTAATCCCAGCACTTTGGGAGGCTGAGGCAGGCAGATCACCTGAGGTCAGGAGTTTCAGACCAGCCTGGCCAACATGGCGAAACCCTCTCTCTACTAAAAATACAAAATTAGCCAGGCATGGTGGCACACGCCAGTAATCCCAGCCACTTGGGAGGTTGAGGCTAGAGAATCGCTTGAACCTGGGAGGTAGAGGTTGCAGTGAGCTGAGACCTCGCCATTGCACTCCAGCCTGGGTGATGGAGCAAGACTCTGTCTTTAAAAAACATACATTCAGAAAATCAAAAATAAAAACACCCATAATCCCACACCAGAAATAAATATAATAAATGACTTGGTGTACATACTTCCTAACCATTCCATTGTTACAGTTTTTATTAAAATGGCATATTATGGCTGGGCGTGGTGCCTCACACCCGTAATCCCAGCACTTTGGGAGCCCAAGGTGGGCACATCACTTGAGGTCAGGAATTTGAGACCAGCCTGGCCAACATGGCGAAACCCCATCTCTACTAAAAATACAAAAATTAGCCGGATGTGGTGGCGCATGCCTGTAATCCCAGCTACTCAGGAGGCTGAGGCAGGAGCATCAATTGAACGTAGGAGGCAAAGGATGCAGTAAGCCAAGATCATGCCACTGCACTCCAGCCTGGGCAACAGAGCAAGACTCCATCTCAAAAAATTAAATAAATAAAATAAAATGGCATATTACACATATATTCCCCCATGATGTTATATTTAATGTATTAAAAGCAGTCCATTGAATAAATATAGCAGAGATTTTTAAGAATCAATCCATTAAGCCTATTTTACAGAAAAGGTGAACCTCAGAGAGGTAAAGTCATACCATAGGGCAAGGTTTATGAACTAAAACCTTGGCCTTATTGCTAACAGAGATTCTAGCCATAATAGTTTCGAAAAGGATTGAAATATATGCAACATTTTCTGATGAAAAAAGCCGTTAGACTGACTAAAGTCTGAGATACGTACCTAGCCACATCCGAATGATGCTCATGTAGTCTTTGTTCTTGGCTGAGAGGAGTTTGTCATAGGAAGGGCAGCCTGCCAAAAGGATGCGATCATGGTCCTCACACATGGATATCAGGTGCTGCTCTGCACTTCGGGTGCAGCACACATGATAATGAGCCAGTTTTGTTATGGCATGTCTGATAGAGTCATCAATGGTCCCACTGACTTCCCCACCTTCAATGTGAAGGATTCGGATGTTCATCAAGGCAGCAGATGTAGCCAGAGCCAGGGCATCAAACCTGTCTCCATGAACAATCATGATATCAGGCTTTAGGCGATTAAGGACATCTGGCAGCTTCACTAGGGCCAGGCCTACTGACTCCACCATAGCTGCCTCATCTTCTCCCCTCACAATTGTGTGGAGCCTGGTGTTAATGTCAAAGTCATCTTGTTCAATCATTCGATATGTATTTCTAAAGCAGGAGAGAAATAAAGATATAAAAACATGTTCTTAAACACAGAGCCATAACATACAAGGAAAGCAATCTAACACCAACCCTGAAGTGAGAAACATTAAAATAAATTGAAGTATAACTTACAAACATAAAAAGCATATACCATAAGTGTATACAGCCTGATTAAGATTTTTTTTTTTTTTTTTTTTTGAGATGGAGTCTCGCTCTGTTGCCCAGGCTGGAGTGCAGTGGCGTGGTCTTGGCTCACTGTAACCTCTACCTCCTGGGTTCAAGCAATTCTTCTGCCTCAGCTTCCTGCGTAGCTGGGATTACGGGTGCCTCCCACCACACCCGGCTAATTTTTTGCATTTTAGTAGAGACAGGATTTCGCTGTGTTGACCAGGCTCTTCTCGAACTCCTGACCTCAGGTGATCTGCCTGCCTCGGCCTCCCAGAGTGCTGGGATTACAGGCATGAGCCACAGTGCCCAGCCCATTATAGTTTTATTTGCAAAATCTGGAAAGCAATATAGTATAGTGGAAAGAGTGCTACCAGAAAGTGGTCCCCATCCAGATCCCAAGAGAGGGTTCTCAGACCACATACGAGAAAGAATTCAGGGTGAGTTCATACAGTGTTTAAAAAGGCAGTTAAATGAAACGCCTTTTGGAAGGTTGGTTTAACACTTTATTCGGGTGAATCTGTTTCAGTTTTGCTTTTAAAGTGCAAATGGGATATTGTTTTTGCTTCTAAGGTGTGTGGCCCTTCTGGATTTTCAGTGAAAAGTCTGAGGTGTTTATGAAGCCCCTCTAACTTGGTAGGACTCAAACTGCAAACTATCTTCCCTGAAGTGGACAGCACATGAAATATCTACTCAGTTTCTTCAGCCTCCAGCTGTTTCTTCTACCAGAATTTTTGGAGTCTCATCCATGTGCAGTTTAGTGGTCAATCAAGAATCTGAGAGGAGTTTACATAAAAGTTTTTGGGTTTTTTTGTTTTGTTTTGTTTTTGAGACAGGGTCTCACTCTGTTGCCCAGGCTGGAGTCCAGTGGCAAACTCTCAGCTCACTGTAATCTCTGCCTCTTCGGTTCGATTCTTGTGCCTCAGCCTTCCAAGTAGCTGGGATTACAGGTATGCACCACCATGCCCAGCTAATTTTGTAATTTTAGTGCAGACAAGGTTTCACCATGTTGGCCAGGCTGGTCTCAAACTCCTGATCTCAGGAGGAGTGGCTTGGGCTATAGGCATGTAGTCCTCCTGGCCTCATGTGATCCACCCACCTTGGCCTCCCAAAGTGTTGGGATTACAGCCATGAGCCACCGTGCCCGATCTACTTTATGTACAGATTTTAGGGCTTCTCCTTGGTGGCTCCCTCAGTTCCAGAATCTTTCCCATCAATTTCCAGACACTACGGGCAGTCCAAGTTCCATTTTTTGGCATCTCACCCTAAACAACTGTGGCTTTTTATCTGAGTTCTACCCACCTTTCCCATGTGGACTGGGGGGGATACTCTCAGGGGAAAAGCTATTTAAACATGGATCTCACCAACTATAGTTCCTTCTTTTACGGATTGAATTTCTTTCCATTTCTGCCTGCTGTTGGTTGCTCTCCAGTGCCTTCAACTATTTTTTAAAATATTTTTCCAGAGTTGATAAAGGGTAGTCAAGTATAAGCTGCCCTGTCATTACTGGAACCTGAACTTCTTTTTCCTAAATATTTCATAATTTAAGTTGTATGTTCAGTTCAATTTCTCCTAATTTTTCTTCCAGTAATGAAAACACTTAAGATCATAAATTTATTTTTTATTATGGGTTTTCCTTTATTTTATTTTATTATCTCTTATTTTTATTATTTATCTGTGTATCATCTATCTCCTCCACCAGAATGTGAGTTGTGTGAAAGCAGAAACTTTGTTTTTGTCTTATTTGCCACTTGGCACAACAATGCTTGTTGAACAAATGAACAAATGAAAACATTTCACAGTTAAAAGTCTCTCACTTTTGTCTCCCAGTCATCCAATTCTTCTCCCCAGAAGCAACCAATTTCTTGTGTTAGAATGTACTTTAAACAAGCATTTTTGAACCAGGTGCAGTGGCACACGCCTGTAATCCTAGCACTTTGGGAGGCCGAGGTGGGTGGATCACCTGAGGTCAGGAGTTCAAGACCAGCCTGGTCGACATGGTGAAACCCCATCTTTAAAAAAACAAAAACAAAAAAACCCATGCATTTTCATTAAGTATAGTCAAATTTCCTATTTAACAATCTCATCAGATAAATACTATTTTTCCACTCTTGATAACTGGTAGGCAGATAAGAAACCTACTACAATTTCCCTGAGCGTCTCTCTTCTACTAGTCTTCCTGTAAAGGCTTTCTCACAGCAAGAAAAGAACTAACTCAGACTTTCATCTCAGGCTCTAGCTAAAATTTCTCGTCTATCGACAGGATGTTCCTAAATAGTCAGAATTCATGTCATATTTAAAACAAAATCTATGGATCCCTGAGCTATCCATTAAGTTTCTTCTCTGCTCTTTAAATATTTCCTAATAGCAAATACCTAACTTGTTTTTAAAGAATAGTCTGAAAAGGACAATTTTATTTTAACACAAGGTTCTTTCAGATACTTGTATTTGTGACTCTCTTTGGAGACTGCATTAATGCATTCATGCCACAAGGGTGCACTAGATGCCTTTTTATTACATATAGCAAGATGTATGTAATACCTCTTGTTCTCTCAATGATTATCCAACATTCATTTTTTTTTTTTTTTTTTTTTTTTTTTGACAGAGTCTCACTCTTGTTGCCCAGGCTGGAGTGCAATGGTGTGATATCGGCTCATTGTAACCTCCACCTCCAGGGTTCAAGCGATTCTCCTGCCTCAGCCTCCTGAGTAGCTAGGACTATAGGCATGCACCACCCCACCTGGCTAATTTTTTTTGTATTTTTAGTAGAGACAGGGTTTCACCATGTTGGCCAAGCTGGTCTTGAATTTCTGACCTCAGGTGATCTGTCTGCCTCAACCTCCCAGAGTGCTGGGATTACAGCTGTGCACCACTGTGCCTGACCCAAGCTTTACTTTTTAAATGTAGCCTGTGATTAATAACAAACCTAATGTCACCAAAATAAATGCCAGTGGTCACAGTAGTGTAATTCTCTCCTTTACCTTGTAGATTAATTAGATTTTTAAAATCTTGCTCCATATCTACTACTTTATATGCTGTTGGCCTATAAACCAGTTTTAAGAATTGCCATTAGAACTCACAAAACAGATTACATGGAATCAACATTATTATACTCATACAATATGTATTTATAAGTGACATTTCTCTAAATGTAACAACTGATAACAAATATTAATATTATTTATAGCTACCATTTATCAATCATCTACTAAGCGGCATCACTGTGATGGATGCTCTATACCACGATCTCCATTCCTCACAATAATTTACAATATGTTTTCACTACATTTTGTAATGAGGAAACTGAGGCTTAGAGATGCTATGTGACTTCTCTAAGGCCACATAAAAACTAAGCAGCAGAACTGGAATTTGAAGGTGGGCCCGTATGGCTACAAAACTCAAGCTCCCTCTAGCACACCGGTGCAGTGAAGAATAAGAAAATGCTTTCATCTTACCCATAGTCATCTATCAGGTGAGAGCCAAGTACCACAACATCAAGTTCAAAGAACTCAGGTTCAGTTTTAATGCCAAACATGATTGGGGCAAGTTTAGAATAATCTGCACGGTTACAAGTAGCAACACAAACCCGCAGCTTTCGGTTATTTCCATTCTTCTCCATGATTTGTTTGTTTCGTTTTGAGAGGTTCTTAAAATAGAGTTCCTGAAATTGACAAAATAAAAACTTTATAATCAGAATAATTCCCAGATGTAACTAAACTTTAAACTTCTCTAAATCAAAAATAGAAATTTTCACTTTTAAGTCTTTTCTAGTTAATATAGTGATTCTTAATCTTTTTTTTTTTTTTTTTTTTTTTTTTTTAAAAAATACTGTGATTAATGCTGGGAAGGAGAAAGATGAGTAAGTTAAAAACCTGACCTTCAAGCCCTCATCAGTACCTACACACCAGTGCCCACAAAACTGACAACTCCCAATGCCTGTATCTCCTGCTGTATGTCCTATAGCCACCTTCAAGTCAGTGTCCCAAACTGAGCTTATTTTCTTTTCAAAACCCGTTCCTCCTCAATTATTCTCTGAGTTACACAATTTCATTCATCCAAATGCCTTGAAATCCTTGTCTCTTCAGTTTCTCACCCCATATCTCCAAAACACTGTCAATTCTACCTGATAAATATCTTTTTTTTTGAGACGGAGTTTCGCTCTTGTTACCCAGGCTGGAGTGCAATGGCACAATCTCGGCTCACCGCAACCTCCACCTCCTGGGTTCAGGCAATTCTCCTGCCTCAGCCTCCTGAGTAGCTGGGATTACAGGCACACACCACCATGCCCAGCTAATTTTTTGTATTTTTAGTAGAGACGGGGTTTCACCATGTTGACCAGGATGGTCTCGATCTCTTGACCTCGTGATCCACCCGCCTCGGCCTCCCAAAGTGCTGGGATTACAGGCGTGAGCCACCGCGCCCGGCCCAAATATCTTTCAAATCTATCTCCTCCTCTTCATCCTTACAAGGATTTCCCCTAGTCCAGTCCCTCATTTTAGGTCTGGACGATAGTAACAGCTGTCAGTGTGGTTTGCCTGCCTCCTACAAACTTTCTTTTCTATTTGTTTATTTATTTAGAGACAGTCTCACTCTATAGCCCAGGTTCGAGTGCAGTGGCACGATCTTGGCTCACTGCTACCCTCGCCTCCAGATTCAATTTTCTTGCCCCATCCTCCTGAGTAGCTGGGATTATAGTCGCCCACCACAATGCCCAGCTAATTTTTGTATTTTTAGTAGAGATGGGGTTTCGCCATGTTGGCCAGGCTGGTCTTGAACTCCTGGCCTTAATTGATCCGCCTGCCTTGGCCTCCCAACGTGCTGGGATAACAGGCATAAGCCACTGCACCCAACCTCCTACAAACTTTCAAAGTGATCCTCCTTTCCTACCATCTCTTCCCTAAAATTACCCTTACTCTGTGCCAAAGCACCAGCCGTACCAAACTGCCTCCAGTTCAACTAGTGACTCTCCGTTATCTGTACCCTTATAGATGCCAAGTACTTTTTCCTAAAACTTCCTTTCCCCCTTGCCTTCAAAATTCAAAGTGTCATCCTTTCTGGAAAACCTTCACACAAACCTCAGATCCTCCTCCCCAACGTTTCTCAGTTGCTGCCTTGCTGTGAGCATTATGGCCTTCCCATTCGCAGATATACTATTGCTAAGCTTCTCTGCTCGCTCATCCCTCCCTGCCATGCTATACCCTCCATGCAAAAAGTAAAAATCAGGGGCAAGGAATAAGAGATTGGTTTTATGGAATTTTGTTGGTTTTTTTTTTGAGACAGAGTCTTGCTCTGTCACCAGGTGCCATGTTGCCAGGTGCCAAGCTGGAGTGCTGGAGTGCAGTGGCGCAATCTTGGCTCACTGCAACCTTTGCCTCCCGGGTTCAAGCAATTCTGCCTCAGCCACCTGAGTAGCTGGGACTACAGACTCACGCCACCATGCCGAGCTAATTTTTATATTTTAGTGGAAACGGGGTTTCACTATGTTGGCCAGAATGGCTTTGATCTCTTGATCTCGTCATCCACCCACCTCGGCCTCCCAAAGTGCTGAGATTACAGGCTTGAGCCACCGTGCCCGGCACTGGAATATTTTTTAAATTTTTTTTTACATTTTTGGAGATGGGGTCTTGCTGTGTCACATAAGCTAGCGTGCAGTAGCTATTCACAAGCACGGTCGTAGCTCACTGCAGCCTGGAACTCCTGGGTTCAAGCAATCCTCCCACCTCGGCCTCCTAAGTAGCTGGAACTACAGGCATACACCACTGTACCAGGCTTGGAACATATAAAACTCCGCTAAACCAACATAAAATTTCACCTCATGGACTCTGATCTCAATGTTCATGTTTCAGTAAGTGTATCAATATTTAGAATTTACAATCAGGAATCTGGAGATACTTCAGTAAGGATTCCAATACAAGGGGTGCCATCCTTTAGATGAGAGTAAACTCTGAAATTCACTGGAAATTCCATCAGCAGCCCTCCGCTGTTGGTACCTCATCTCTCTTAGGCTAAAATTCTGTGACCATGCAAACTCACTCATCATTAGGCCCACTCTGAATTTATAATCCCAGTAAAAACTAATTTCACTGAATGGCAGATTGCTTACAATATAATGAAACAGGCATTCCATCAAGAGAGTTGTATTCAGAACACCTAAGCACTATGTAATCTTTTTTTTTTTTTGAGACAGAGTCTTGCTCTGTCACCCAGGCTGGAGTGCCTCCCAGGTTCAAGCAATTATCCTGTCTTGACCTCCCAAGTGGCTGAGACTACAGGCACATGCCACCATGCCTGGCTAATTTTTTGTGTTTTTAGTAGAGTTGGGGTTTTACCATGTTGGTCAGGCTGGTCTCAAACTCCTGACCTCACGATCTGCCTGCCTCGGCCTCCTAAAGTGCTAGGATTACACTTTAGGCATGAGCCATCGTGCCCAGCTGCAGTGTCTAATCTTTAAAGAGACAAAAATATTGTTCCAAAAATGGTTGTCCTAAGTGTTCTTCTATATAATCTTTCTTCCAGTGATCAAATTTGGGCTGAATAAATTGTTGGTAATATTTAATTTGCTGGGTGAGGCAAAACAAATCATTCATGGTTTGTCAATTTGTATTTATTGTACAAAGAAGAGTAAATGTTCCACCTGGCAGTATTAAAATGCTTAATATTTACCAGGTTACTCAAAGGTTATCCTATCTAAACTGAGAGCAAGCTGACCATATAAATAAGGTGAAAATACAACAATGTTACCTAAAGTCAAAGCTTTTTTTTTTTTTTTTTTGAGACAGTCTCACTCTGTTGCCCAGGCTGGAGTGCAGTGGCGCAATCTCGGCTCACTGCAACCTCCACCTCCTGGTTCCAGTAATTCTCCTGCCTCAGCCTCATGAGTAGCTGGGATTACAGGCCACCACATCTGGCTTATTTTTATATTTTTAGTAAAGACAGGGTTTCACCATGTTGATCAGGCTGGTATTGAACTCCTGACCATGTGTTCCACCTGCCTTGGCCTGCCAAAGTGCTGGGATTACAGGCATAAGCCACCACGCCTGGCCCAAGTCAAAGCCTCTTTAAGGAAAGAAGTTAAATCTTAAGAAGAAAATTATGGTAAAATGCCTTTTTAAGGAGAGGTTTTAAAAAATAATTTTAACTCAATTTTTTATTAGGTAGTATATTCACATGGTTTAAAATTGAAAAGTCACAAGGGGTTAAATAGCAAAAAGTCTTTTCATCTGTGTTCCCCAGCTAGCTAGTTCTTTTCCCTGGAAGCAAACAGTTACTGGTTTCTTATCTGTCCTTCCATAGATAAACTATGATAATATAAATAAATATGTGGTGCATGCCTATAATCCCAACACTTTGGGAGGCAGAGGCGAGTGGATCACGTGAGCTCAGGAATTTGAGAACACTCTGGCCAACATGGTGAAACTCCATCTCTGCTAAAGATACAAAAAAAAATTAGCCAGGTGTTGTGACACATGCCTATAGTCCCAGCTATTTGGGAGGCTGAGGCAGGAGAATCACTTGAACACATGAGGTGAAGCTTGCAGTGAGCCAAGATCTTGCCACTGCACTCCAGCCTGGGCGACAGAATTAGTCTCTATCTGAACACACACACACACACACACACACACACACACACACACACACGTATGATGTGTATATATATGTATATATTGTGTATATATGTATATATACACACATATACACACACATACACAACGTATATTATACAATTGGTAACATATTCTACAAACTGTTGTTGCAAATCTTGCTTTTTTTGTTTTTTAGACAGAGTCTTGCTGTGTCGCCCAGGCTGGAGTATAGTGGCATGACCTTGGCTCACTGCAACTTCCACCTCCTGGGTTCAAGAGATTATTGTGCCTCAGCCTCCCGAGTTGCTGGGATTACAGGTACCTGCCACCAAGCCCAGCTAATTTGTTTGTATCTTTAGTAGAGATGGGGTTTCACCATGTTGGCCAGGCCAGTCTCAAACTCCTGACCTCACGTGATCCACTCACCTTGGCCTCCCAAAGTGCTGGGATTACAGGCATGAGCCACCACAACCAGCCGCAAATCTTACCTTTTAAAATGCTTTTAATTATGACTCAATTAAATGGTAGAACAGGAACATTTAAAGATATTAGAAATACCAAATCTAAAAATGCAAAGTTTTGGAAATTGCTGGCCGTCAACTTGTCAAATATACAAATTGTTATAAGAGCACTAAAATTTAGCAAAAACACTCAACTTTGGCCAGGCACAGTGGTTCATGCCTGTAATCCCAGCACTTTGGGAGGCTGAGGCGGGCAGATCACCTGAGCAGCCTGGCCAACATAGTGAAACCCCGTCTCTGCTAAAAATACAAAACTTAACCAGGTGTGGTGGCATGCGCCTGTAATCCCAGCTACTCAGGAGGCTGTGTCAGGAGAAATGCTTGAACCTGGGAGGTGGAGGTTGCAGTGAGCCAAGATTAAGCCATTGCACTCCAGCGTGGGAGACAGAACAAGACTCCCATCTCAAAAGAAAAAAGAAAAAATTAGCCGGCATGGTGGTGTGTGCCTGGAATCCCAGCTACTCAGGAGGCTGATACATCAAAATCACTTGAACCCAGAAGGCAGATGTTGCAGTGAGCCAAGATCAGCCCACTGCACTCCAGCCTGGGCAAATGAG